GTTAATAATATGAAATGAATTCACTCTATTTCGTTTAAGGTGAGCAAGGACTGGTAGTAGAATTATCCCACAATGGTGTGAGTAGAGCTGACGTTTCCATTCAATTTCACATTGCCTTGTTTTCCCAAAAGTTCTCCTCATCCAGGCTGGAATTCAGTTTCCACCTCGCATAGGCCTTATCAACACCCCAGCGGGAGTCGAACCGTGACAGGGCAAATGTGAATTTCAAGGAAGGCCAGGCCTTTTTCCATATCATATTCTTTGGTGGGATTGTGGATGAAGCAAATGTATATTTGCTATAACAATCGACTAGGCTACTTATTTTTCGCATTTAAGTAGAGTCTCGAGACTATCAGTAAATCAGTAGTATGAGATGTATTCACCTCATTTCGATTAAGGTGATGAAGAACTGGTAGGACTCGTGCGTGAAATTGAATGGAAATGTCAGCTCAACTTATATCATCTACCTTAAAGGAAATTGGGTGAATACATCTCATACTACTGATCTACTGCTAGTCTCGAAAGTCTACTCGAATACGCAAAATAAGTAAAGTTAATAGTGTACACTGAAATGTGTCGAGTGAAACTGCTACAATTTGGCAAGGCATGCCAAATTAAAGCGTCTACATGCATCCTCCTCAGTGCTACTGCTCAATGATGCTTTGTGGCCGGAGGACGCACACTTGGACAGACAAAAGACCAAGGCAACCGTCCTTCGGTATTTTCGGTGAGGTCAATCTACGAATCCCTGCCGCCCACCTTTTCAACTCAGACGAAAGGTGTGTCGGTGTGTCGGTGTGTCGGTGTGAATCCACCAAGAGACTCCTCGGAACCCAGCTTCCCTTCAGATCCTGTCGGCTACCGGTCGCGTCTGTGTGTTTGTGTGTGTGTTTGTGAGTGAGTGAGTGAGTGAGTGAGTGCATACGATAGTGATAGGGAGGCCAGGGTTGTGCGTCAGGCTGAAGCACAACACACATCCGCGGCTGGCCGGCGCGCACGCCTACACGGAGTGAGAGAATGGGCAAACGTGATCGAGTGGAAAGGGTGGCAGAAGATGAGTAGAAGAGGGCCAGTAGAGGCAGTAACGAAGGCGCTTACAGGCAGGACTGCCAGTGCCGACTGGACGCACAGACCAACGGGCTCCCGAATGTTGCCACCAACCAACTAAACAACCAAACAACCAAACAACCAAACTATCTACCCTCTCGGAGGCATGCTTGACCCAATCCACCTGATCGCCACTTGAACCGACTCGACTCGACTCGACTCGCTTCGCCATTTCATACTTTCATCTATCCCCATTTGTCCCTGTCTGTCTCGATGCGCCTCCATGTGCGTGTTAGTGTTGGTGTAGATGTGTTTTTTTATCCAAAGGTCGTGTAATGCTCCCACTTTCGACTGTCCAAAGGTCCGCTCTTGTTTTGATATCTCAAAAGCCGCACAACACAAACGCGACT